TGTTTACTGACAGTCAGCTACAGTGATGCGTTTACTGACAGCCAGCTACAGTGAGCGTTCACTGACAGCCAGCTACAGTAGCATGACTGACTGTGAGGCGTTCACAGACAGACAGCTACACAACACAGTAAATCACTGTAATGCGTTTACTGACAGCAAACTACAGTACTGCGTAAACGACTGTGATGCGTTCACTGACAGCCGGCTGGAGTACAGCGCTGACGTTGCTTTACGTCAAACAGCAGACATTGCAGCAGTTGAAGCTCCAAAATGTTAACGAGTAAAGTGGAGACTAACTTGGAGTTTAAATCAGACAGGTGACGTTTCCTCAAACATCTAGACGTCCACAGGTTAAGCTAAAGGGGTGTGATATTCAGGTGTACAAACACTGACGTTACTTCCAGGTAGACTGAGGCTAGCTGCCAAATGATGAAAACAAGCTAACTCAGGCTAACACAGCTAGCACGACCCGGTAACAATTCAAAAGACAAACTATGAAACACGACACGTTCACTGTTCATGTGTCAGATATAAAAACACAAGATGTTCGGTGGTATTTGGGAAAGTTGTCTCCAGATAAAAATGTCAGACTTACTGAGTTAGCCCGTGTGTGTCACAATGATCCTCGTCAGTACAGCCGCTAACACTGAGTGCGTTCACGTGTCGTCGGAATCATCGGAAACATTAATCTAGTGCTACCTTCACGTGCTTCTTGGAAACATCGTACTTATCAATAACGAAAACATACATTATTTTTCTCTCGTTGAAAAAAAAAAGCAACAAACATGGACGCTAGAAGCTTTTTTAGTGTGTGGCTCATGTTTAATCAAAAGACAGAGCTTCTTTGTGCTTTCAGCAGAATAAAAAACACAGAATGAGGCTCAATGAGCATCAGGTAAACATTGTTATCAATGTTAAAGAGGACACATTGTGAAAAATCCACTTTCACAGTGTTTTTGAACATTTATTTGGGTAAGCTGACTGCATAAATATTACCACACAGAGAAAAGTGCTCTGTTTCAAATTTGCTCAACTTGTGACATCACAAATCTGGTAAAAAAATAAGTAAAATAAACCCCCCTCTCCGCTGGTATCTCCCCCCACAGACTCCACCCCCCAATCTAGAGTAAAAATTTTGCATAGGTCCACCATTTTTAGTCTTGCTACAGAGGCAAACTCAGGGTGGGGGGGTTCATTGCTTTTAAAGAGACACACACCAAAACGGAGCATTCTGAGAGAGCTGGTTTCAACAGGGTCACAAACCTCCTCTGGTGTTAGTTAGTGCGCGCGCCCCATGAATGGAGGCTGTCGTCTCGCGTCCCACCCGTGGCCTCTTTCCCGCATGTCATTCCCCACTCTCTCTCACCCTGATTTCCAACTCTATCCACTGTCCTATCTCGCCATTAAAAGCCCAAAAAGCCCAAAAATAAATCTTAAAAAAAAAGGTGGTGAAGGGGGATAATATGTCCTCTTTAATAAACTCATCTGGCATGACTTAATGTTTAAAGTTTGCCTGCTTGCTACAGCTAATAGAAGCATATACTAAAATGTGCACCTACAAAAAATAGATGATAAAAATTATGAACAAGATATATATATATTACTGTATATTTTTGTGACTGTTTCTTAGCTTTCTCCTATTTTTGTGAAACGTCACAAATTGGTAACTTGGGTATTGCCGAATTTTCAAAATTCCCCACTCGTAATTGCAATTATGGAGGGACGTTCATGTACCCATAACTCGTTAAAACGGTAAATACGATATTTCCGAGCAGCTCATGAAGGATGCACGAGACAAGTTCACGTAAACGCCTCCTGGGGTCAGAGGTCAGAACAACAACTGGGACAGTTTGGTGCCCAACCTCCCGAGTTGACGTCATCACACAGAAACGTAAAAAGTGACTGTTGGCTTGACGGCCAAAACATTCACGCCTTGCATATTATTGATATTTTTTGTGACAAATGTAGGCTATCATTTCAAAATAGATTTTAGTTTTATCTGTCTGTTGCTGCCCTAGAGAACAACACATTATCCCTTTATTTCATCTGTATTGTTTCCAAATTACGATTTAAAGCTCGATCGTGAACACACCAAAGTTGGTACGAGGACCACAGCTTGGGAACTCCGAGCAGCACGTGAATGCAGTGAATTCTATGACGAAACTGGCAGCCGCAGTGCATTCTGGTACATGGAGTCAGTGATCGCTTGGAGACGCATATTTGTTTGTAAAGTAAGTGTTTTTAATTTTTTTTCCTCGTAGTAACATTTCACATAGTACAACCAAAGTCATCTAGACCCCTTTCTGCAGTGTTATACTAACATTTAGACTTCTGGGTAAATAAATCATTGTAATAAGCAGAGCTGTGTTAACAACCATTCACTCGTGCTACGAGTCTTAAAGTGCTTTTGGATGCATTTAGTGTGCTTGAGTAATCTAATATGGGACTATAGACCCACCCTGCGTCCTGACAACAAGATGAATCATTTATTTCCTTTAACTTAGGATAACGGGAAGCTTTAGTGGGTAAATTGCTGCTTTCCATGACAAGTCTTAGAGTCTGTGTTTACTGAATGCCCAAAGAGAAGTGATTCTCGACAGTAGAAGTCACATTAGAGTGTTTCTTTATTGATGTTTCTGTAGTCATGTGCTAACAAAATTAATCTTATGATTTGTTGCCATCCCCTTGTGCAATCACTAACATACCTTTATGCTTGTTTTTACTTTAAATACTAACTACCTTCTGATTCCTTCAGAGCTGATGTTAGCACACAGGAAGTGCAGAATAAGGACAGAAATGTCTCTTGTTGTGGGGGACAGACGATGACAAACAAAACCTACATTTCTGTTGTGAACCTTTTCCTCCGTTTGGAAAGATTTCAAACTGACTCATTCACTTCAGCTCACAGAGAAGAAGCCAGCAGAACTCTAACGTCACATCCTTTCTCGCTGAGTCCAGCTCGAGTCATCTGTTTTGTTAAAGTGAACACCCTCATCACTGCCCTTCACAACATGTCGTAGGAGTCTGGTGCCTGTTAAACAAATCTGGCAGTTTCTCTGAGCAAGCGTGTCGTCACACATCGCCTCACGCTGCCAAAGTTTCATCGAAGAGTCTGTTTGCGGTTTTTCTTTTATATAAAATTCCAATTTGCCTACTTTTTAATGACGTGCAAATATAAAGGAGTCAGGTTCTGATACACATTGTGAAATGGCCATTATGAAGCCATGAGAGACGTGTGTTATATTTCCAACGCCCCACAAACACTGACTCATATACAGTGTCTATAAATGTTTAGCCTTCTGTGAAAGATGATGCCTTAAGCGCATACATTATTGCCACAAACATGTCGTGATCATTTGCATATTACTTGTGCAGACCTAAACAACTGTATTGCGTGAGCTACCTTTCTACTCAGCTAGTGGGGTAAAGGGACTAAGCGTTATCATATGTGTTTAAAATACATGGCGGTGAAGAAGCGATGCAGTCCTCTGTGCATCGATAAGGTGTGTGCCGTTCTCTGAAGAGCTCACTCAGCTCTCAGTGCTGCTCTTTCTCTCGTTAGACCTTTGAGATGTACCTGTAGCACCCTGTTGAAATGTTTCACTGCTGGTTTCATTGGAGGGTGTTTAGCCGTACACAGACATCCTGAGACATGTACCTGACATCACTTCCTGCAGTCATACTTTCATTTTTAAGTACACAAACATTTCTACCCTCTCTAATAATTGATCTATCTAAAAAAAAAAAAGAAAAAAAAAGTCATTTTGCTTTTTACATCAACCCAAGTTTTTTTTTTTCACTGTCCATCTTCCGCTCATCAGTGCGACTCCACCACCTATCACAGAAGGTTATTCAAAGAGCAGAGGGGGTCAAAGGAGGTGGTGACATGTGCGAATTGTCGGTGCTAAAGGAATCTCCGTCAGCGCTCCTCTCCTTCAACACTCCCCGGCAGCGATGAGCTCCCCGGGTCTCTCTGCCAGCCTGTCTCGTCGGGTTTCGTCGCCCTCGTCTTCCTCAAACAGCGTGTGGTGTATGCTCAGCAGCTGGTGGGTGGGGGCTATGGTCAGGGGTGGAGGCTGAGACTCAGGGTTTTCCACCGTCTGGAGGAGAGGCTCAGGAGGGGAGGACTTGGGGCTGAGGGCGTCTTCACTGGAGGGAGGGTTCGGGCTCACGCCGTTCACGTAAGTCGTGGTGGGCAGGGTCATCCTAGAAAAGGCAGCGTTGGTCGTTTCAGGAGAACATACTTTAGTTTCTGAGGAGAAAAGAAGGAAATACCAGACAAGTACACGGGAAAAAGAGAGTGTTAAAAGAAAGCACTAAAGGCAGTTTGTAGTCTCTTGACCAAGCTGTGGTCGCATGCGTGCTCACGGGAAAGTTGGATGAGATGGCGTGCTTCATGTCTGACAGCCTGTAGCTTTTAAATTCCCAGAAGTATCTGACCAAAAAGTAAAATGGCGAGAAAGAGAAAATAGATAAGAGGAGACCATGCTCACCTGTGATTGCACCTGAAACATGAACAATGGTGTGGGTGCCTTCAAGGTACACCGCATCCAGGTTGTGCTCTACGGGCAGAGGTTCTGTGGCTGTAACCTCCACTTTGGGCTTCCGGATGGTCAGCATGTACGGGTGGACGTCCAGAGAGAAGTTGCGAGTGTGTTTCTTCTCCATCCCACTGATGTCTACGGTTCAAAATGAAAAGACCGCTTTAAAGGGAGGAAGAACATTGGAGCGCAAAGACAGATCATCTATCCAAAGTTTTCTTACGATTTCAACATCCAGTCCCACGCCTACAGATTCTGCATTTTTATACACAATCTGTAAATACAGATTATATTTTCTGCCAAATACACAACACAGGGTAACTGTTATATCTCTGTTTTCTCTACACTAACTCCTTAAGGGTGGAGTCAGTAGAAGTGTTTGTTGCAGTAAACACAACATTCAAACTGGGCCCCTCCTCCTGGGCTCATCTCCCCCAGAAGCTCACCCTCACTGCAGGACATAGTGTGTATGTATACTGCTTGTACCTACGCTGCAAGCTAACACACGATAGCACAAGCTAACCGACGGTGTTTGTCACCTGCCTGTCCAACAGGAAGCAGACCAACTCCACGTCCACTCTTCTTAACATGTCCCAGACTGACTGTCTGCTTACCTTTTGTCGCAGGATGCTGTGTGCTTTTGGTGTCCAGAAGAGGAGCGATGAAGTTGTCCGTCCCCGTCTTCCGTCTGAGCTGTTTGGGTTTTTCAGGCTTGGTGTTACTTTCCAGACGGGTCATAGTGAGAGGTTCCTTTACACGGACAGAGACACAAACGGGCCGTTAAATCAGAGCTTTAACTGGAGTTCAGAGAGTCAAACATGTAGCATTCAAAGCAGAATAAAAGTACTCCACATTACAGATGTTCTTAATGAGGACTGGCTGCTGTGTCTCCAAACAACTGACGGCTTCACTGAACACAAATAGTCCAAGTTAAAGGTGCAATATGTGACTTTCTGAATAAATATTAAGCAAAAACCAAATATACGCCATGCAAATATATTGTGGGGTAATGACCTCCTAAAAATAGAGTGAAGTCAAACTCTCTCTGGGTTTGTTGTTTTCAGCTCTGTGTTCACACTGACGGGACGGTGCTTCTTTCAGCTTGTTTATGTTTCACTCAGAGGCTCAAACATATGTTGTTGTTTCTCCACGTGAATACCTCCCTCTTTCACCATTAGTCCTGTCGCCATGTGAACGGCAGGAGTTCGGACCCGCCCACTCGGGGAAGCTTTGTCGTTGCAAGACTACGACTGAAGGAGAACCACTAGACTTTCCAAACTGACAGAAGAACAAACGAATCAACTTTGAGATGCTTTTCTTTACTGAAATTTGATATCAGAATCTTGTTCTCAGATGTTAATTAGCACTCGTCTGCTGCTGCTGTCTGTGCCTCACAGAACCCTGCTAGTGAAGAAGTGTGGAGATTACATGGGGAAGGGGAGCTGAGGGACAAAGGAGGTGTGTCTGGAGAGCATTGTAGTGATCTGAAAATAGGCCTTTAAATGAACTGCTGTGCTCCTGTGAAGTGAGAGCTTTTGTTAAGAACATTATTCTGTCTCTTCAGGGTCAGCTTGTGAAGCGTTTTCCTTCTGATGCTAAACTGAATGTTCATGAATACCAACAGGAGACATTGACATTAAACACTCATTGATTACCTTGAACGGCTGAGGGAGAGGGTTGGAGCTCGGGATCCATTTCATCTTTTTACGAGGCCGTTTGATGACCAGCGGCTCCCCTGCCATCTCTCCCACTCCGAGGTCACTGGGGTCCATATTGGGATCGAGTGTCTGTATCCCAGAATCCCTCACAGTGGGTGTAGCGTCGTGGTTGGACTGAGCGAGCGCTGCCAGCAGCTGCCTGACCACGTTGTCGTACATGAGGTCGCTCTCGTTGGTGATGAAGTCCAGCCGGTTGAGCGACTTGATGTGGTCTCTGTTTTCGTTGCAGAACATGGCCAGGATGTTGATGTCACAGAACTGAGACTTCTGCCAGCGTCGCCGAGTTTTTATACCCACTTTATGCAGCTTGTCGAACACAAAGTTGGACTTTCGCACCACAAACAGGTGCAGCAAATTTAGGAGGATGATGAGGTTCATGGTGCAGAGCAGAGCGAGGTCTACTGCTGCCATGATGCGCTGCAGCTGCACAGCAGACAGCTTACAGTTCACCTTTAACTTTAGCTCTACATAGCTGCTAATGTCCGGAGGCTCACCTAGAGCACAGGTGAACTCATTCTGCCTCTGGCGGGCGTAGTAGGCGCTCAGGTAGGAAATGGGGATGGAGCTGAGGCAGATAATGGCCAGGTGGCGTGCGAGGTAAATCTTAGCCAGAAAGTTACTTTGTCCTCGTCTCTCCAAATATTTCTCAAACAGGTTCTGCTCGGGGCTCTTCTCCTTCTCTGCGTTCTCGATGATCTCCCTCCGCTCTCGCTCAGTTATGCCAGGTCCTTTGGATTGGATCTGCTTCTCGATCTTTGGGGCTCGGCCCTCAGCGGCTCGGTGATAGCAGTTATCAATCTCTTGAAGCAGGAAATTGAGCTCTGAAGTGAGCCGTGTGGAGGCGAGGAACTCCCAGCCCAGAGCAGGAATGTACATGATCCCAGCGAAGGCCAGCAGGGCGTACGGCAGGAACTTGTGTTCAAACAGTGAAGGCCAAAGGTGAGACTCCACTCCAGGTACGGCGTCCCGCAGCTCTGTCCAGCAGTAGCCCCGTGCGTACAGCGCCTGGTCTCTGGTGAAGTTGTGTGGTGTGTAACAGTAAATGGACTCCTCTGAGGAAAATAGAGAAAGAAAAAGTCAACACAAACGATTTTCAAATTTTTCATCCTAGGGTTGTCACGATACCAGAACTTTAAACGTCTATTCAAGACCAGTTACAATCAAACTATATGCATGCCTTTTCATTCCCACAGCAACAACAATATAAGTCCTAGGCCCCCAATATTTAGAAATGTCTTATTTTTAATTTCCCAAAATTGTAAACAAACTCCTGCACACTGTCTAAACAGAACAAAGACATTGGCAACATTTCAGTACCGATAGACGGTAATCACAGCCACAGGCAGCTGAACGGGGACAGGGAATCAGGAATCAAAGGAAGCCACACAGTTTTTAACCGTGTGTGTGTGTCTGTGTTTGTAGGTCCTGTCGTGTTTTGTGTCATGTTTTTCATATATATATACGAGCTTGTTTTTACCTAAATGGATGGATGGTAAATGGACCTGAGCTTGTAAAGTACTTTTCTAGTCTTTTGAATACTCAAAGCGCGCAGACGAAGCAAGGGGAGCAATTCAGGGTCTTAGCCAGGGGATCGTACCCTCGACCCTCTGGTTTGAGAGACACAACTCTACCAACTGAGCCACAGCCGCCCCTAGAGTTTCAGCGTTTCAGAAGCATGGCATCGCAGGAGCTCCACATAAACACACAGTCAGACATGCAGGCACACTGCGCTACGCTCCCCTGCTGGCTAAGCTGATCCCGTCTCCCCCCCTGTGACGCCTCTGTTACCACCTCTGAAGACGGTACAGAGGGGGATCACTTCATTGTGATGAAGCATTACGCCTCCGCAACATTCAGATTGAAGGCGTAGCGCCAAAGGGGCATAAATATCCCGGCTTGAGACACACTGTGCAAGTTGAGAGAAAACAACATGAACTAAGTCATCACAGGAAAATGGAGTAAAATAACATATTTTGCTGCATCCTTGCATCGGGATTCTCTGCAGCATAGTGCAGAAGACGTTTAAAAAAACATGACTTCATTGGCTTTGCAACTTTCAATGGATGTTTCCAGATTTTCTAGGACATATCTTGCATCTCTCTGATCTGGGTATCCTTCTATCTGTACCGTATCTCATCATTCATCTGTGTGTCTGATAATGATCACACAGCTTTGTGCAATGATAGGAGTGTGTGCCTGGCTCAGATACACTCCTCTGTGCACAGGAAATCCAAGTGGATGAGGGTGGCATCAAGTCCACCTTTAACCTTTGGAACTGAGTGCAGTGACAGCTTATATTCTGAAGTTTCCACTGCTGTCTCTGTGAGCATGTCTTCCATATTCCCTGTAATGAGGACAATACGACATTACACGTTACAGTCAGCGAGGGCAGAATGCTTCCCTTGCTCTGAGTCATCTGAAATAATTCAACAATTCCCAGAGTATCGTTAAAGCTCAGCAGCAGTGAGGGAATACCTCCGAGCTCATGTTAACACCCACATCTCTCTGCTGCTGCTAAAGTTGAACACTCAGTCGCAGATGGTTCATGCTGCTCTGCAGAGAGTCTGACTCAGCAGTGAAATACCATCTTTCCCGTCCATCGCTTCCACTCTGCCTTCTTAACAGACACCTTCCTCTTTCTTCCCCCCTCCTACAATCTATCCCCTCAAATCTCCAGACACTCTGCAGTCTTTCTGGCTCTTTTCCGGCACTCTCTGTTGATGCTCCTTTTACTGCCGAGCCTAATCTCCTAAAGTTTCGGCTTATCATTGTTTCTTACGAGAGGCTCTGCATGGCTTACTCAGGACAAAATGGGTTTAACTGAATTACATTCTTGTTTGAGACTTTTGGTGACTCTTTTGTAGCTTTAAGAGAAGCAACATCATTTGTTATCTTCTTGCACAAACTGTTCCTGGTCATAAGTGATGTAAGAGGAATCAGGTGCTGAATAACTTTTAAACAATCCAGTTAAAGGGATACTTAACCCATTTGCATTAAGCTTTGTATCATTAGAAACCTGGTAGTATTTTTGAATGGTCGTGCATCCCACCCTCATTTTCTCCTGAGATGGGAAATCTTTGTATTTTAAGTCAGAAAAGGAGCTTCCAGTGACGCAAAATGACGATTTTGCCTGTCGGCGGCGGTGAGGACGAGGAGCCCGGGCCGGCTTGAGCTGGGGCGGACTGGTAGTATCAGTGCTCTCACTGTTTGCCTATGGACACAGACATAGAGTCCGTTTTCTGCCAGGAATTTCAAAGATCAATTCTGGAAGAAATCTCTGAATCTGTTGAGGAAATGGTCTAATGTGTTGAAGTAAATATGTCAGTAAATGTTTTTATGACTATATTTTTACTGCTATATTGTATATTTTGGAGAAACTGTAACGATTGAATTTCCCTCTGGGATTAATAAAGTATTTCTGATTCTGAACTAGAGGACCTTAGTGGGAGTGGCCTGCGGTGCTGTGCATTCTGGGATTTGGTGTCTTTCATACACATGAGCCAAAAAGACACTTTCTGCCTTTTCACGGTCAAGAAGGCACCAACTTCAAAATTTATTTCACATTTCTACTACATATATGACCCAATGTCAGTACAGATTCATGTTTCAACGGGTGAAGTATCCCTTTAACTGTGGGAGTGAGCCTAGTGGCACAAGTCTCACCTGCAAAGTTCCTGGTGAAGACGAGGGTGACGAGCAGGATGGGGATGATGACCGTCCCGATTGTGACGACACGATCGAAGGGCAGCTCCAGTTTGAGCTGCACCATGAGGCCCGCCAGAGCGCCGCCCCTTTCGTCCTGGGAGGAGCCGGGCAGGATTAGCTCCTTCAGCTTCTCGCCAGCGAGCAGAGCTGTGGCCATGTCTAGGTTTTGATCGAGGATGTTCTGCATCCGGAACACAAAGAGCGAACGCTACAACCTCCCTCAGGGTCGTAGGGGAGAGCTGACCCTCCCTGCTGCTGCTGCTGCTGCTGCTGCTGTGTGTTCAAACACACACACAGACGTGTTTGGCAGGCTTCAGCCTCTGTCACCACACGTGGTTAAGAAAGTGGTCATACTGTGCGGTCTGACTTCTTCAGAGCTTTGAGGTTTCTACGGTTTCTCACAGCGTTGCTCCTGCAGAACGGACATAATGTTCAGACACACACTCCTGGCTCGCTCTCCTCTGTGTTGCGCCCCATCTCCACAGTGCCTGGCTCCAGTCCACACACACTCTGAGGTGGGATGAGGGATGAGCTCAGGTTAGGAGTCGTCCCTGTGATCCCTGAGGAGACCGATCGCTGGCTGAAGACTCTTCAGTTAGGCAAAACTCTGACTCACCTTTTCCTGCAAGAAAGATAACCAGTAAGAGCAGGACAGCTCGTGCATTTTTGAAGAAGTCGGTTGAGTACAGACATAGCACCTAACTGTACATGGCATGGGGGAGGGGGACAAACTGCCCCTGAAATCCTCCTGAGTTAATTGTTCACATATATACCTCACAGCTGGACCCTTAGGAGGTCTCAAGACATGACGTTAGGAGGACGCAGAAAATCGGATGAAGCAACAGAGTTGGAGGCTACGATGACAGTTTCTGCCCGTGTATGTAGTTCTTCTGACAAAAATCTCATCTTTGTGTCTTTAAATGTTTAAAAGTCACTTGGGGCGTCCGTAGCCTAGTGGTTAGTGCGTGTGCCCCATGTACGGAGGCTATAGTCCTCCAAGCGGGCAACCCGGTTTGAATCTGACCTGTGCCTCCTTTCCTGCATGTCATTCCCCACTCTCTCTCTCTCTCTCTCTCCACTTTCTGACACTATCCCCAGTCCTGTCTCTACAATAAGGGCATAAAAAAACCTCTTCAAATCTTTGAAATAGAAAAGGTTAAAAAAGTCTGTTTCACACACGCTGCAGTAGCGAATCAAGCATTTAAAACATTTACGTAGAAATAATGAATCTTTCTGCTGCTGGTCCCGTTTGTTTTTGCAGGTCACACAGAGGCATTCATCATTATTTCAGCGTGTTTTCAAAATCTGCTAAAAACTCCTCACAGCAGCTTCTTTGCCTACGTTGTCGTATCTTTTGTTGTGGGTCTTCGTCTCCCTGTCACCTTTTCCTCATCATTCCTGTGCAGCACTTTCTCCTCACAATAAAGGAAAACAGGAACAATTAGGTGAAGAGGGCCCTTCTGAGATTACGTGTACATTAACAGAGCTGTGATGTGTGTGTGTCTGTGTGTGTTGTTTTTTTTTAATCCCCTCAGCTCCCTGTGTAGTGCAGTCAGCTGTCTGAGAACTAATCCTCCCTCTGACCACTGGAGTGTGTGAGAGTGTTCAGACCTGAGAGCGGCTTCTTGCCTTTGATCCAGCAAGAACACTAAAGGGTATATTTATTCCCTGAAGAGTATTCTTACCATTAATTTTTACAAACTGAATTTAGTGATTTTCACAAATGTTGTTCTTTAAACACTTATTCTTGGACTTGGACTCTGCATTTCTCTAACCCTTGACTTCTTGAGGTCTTAGGAACAGTATGTTCACACACGAGGGAGTCAGGTGAACACACACTGCTGTCGGTGTGATGTCATGTGTATTAAGAGTGTGTGCATGAGTCAGTGTGTGTGTGAGAGAGATTGATGTATGCAACTGACGTGTTTGTGCCGCTGCACGCTCGTTTCACATGAAGGTTATGTGAATGTCCTTCGAGAGGGCTGAGCATACATCACCCCCTCACCCTCTTTATCTCACACTTCTCTTTCTTTCACTGTTACTCCTCCTGTCCCTCTCTCTTCTTTCCCCTCAATAAAAACCCAGTTAACGATGAAATCTTTCAAACCGAATCCTCACAGTCCAGAGCTGCAAATCGTCCTGAATGAGTTGGGAGAGCACAGGGGGAAATCAGAGCTCGGGATAACGTTCACAATATGTGGCTCACGATAATGATAACATCACGATACAGCGATTCTGTAATGGTTGATATATTGCTAAACAATCGTATAAAGATACATCACGACATCTGACTAAATAGAAGTCATTAAGAGCAGGATTAATGTGTCTATAAAGTATTATTACAGTTTCAATTTCACTTCTTATCACGCTTCATCTCTCTCCACCGCGGTCCAACATCATCCGGCTGTCTTCTTTTTTTTATTCTTTAACTCGTTGTCACTTCTTCTTGGGTTATTAAAGCATCAATCTGTAACTTTTCCACCGTAAAATGATAGTTTTAAAGTCGATCTATTAGAACAATAACTCTCAACAAATGGTAAATGGTAAATGGACTTGGGCTTATGAAGTGCTTTTCTAGTCTTCCGACTACTCAAAGCGCTTTTACACTCAGGTCACACCAACACATTCACACACTGATGGTAGAGGTCACTATGTAGTATCATCCATCAGAAGTAACTAATCCCACTCATATACCGCCACCGAAGCAGCGGCAGCAATTCAGGGTTAAGTGTCTTCCCCAAGGACACATCGGACATGTTGCCTAGCTGGGACATTTCTTATAGCCTATTAAAATATCAATATTTAGTACCTGAGTATGACACGAGGCAGGATGACCAAATGTGGTTGTAAAGCCATTTTGTCCGAGCCCTAATCAGTGCTCTCTGACTTGCAGAGGAGATCTCTTTGAAATATAGTCAGAGACCCATATTCAAGGCTGCATATGTTAATGCTGATGTCATCCAGGAGACCTTTATGTCCCTTGTGGGGTACCATAACATAAAAAACACATGACACTGCCTGGTGACATCAGAGCAACTTTATCCCGATCATCAAACACTGTCTCAAGGTAGAGGGGAAATAAAGTTTGCATAATTCAAATTTAAAGGGGCAGTGTTACATAAAAGCGGCTCTCTGTGAGGCTGCACTGCTGTCTGTGAGCTGCTGGCTCGGCTCCAGTCCAGCAGATAATGCCTTCAGTCCGACTCTGTTTCCAGTGCTCAGAGAGGGAATCCCACAGTCTTTGGCTGCTACAGCATCCCGCAGGCTCTGACCAGAACAGACGGGCACAAAGAGATGGAGCTGAGCTGCTGGACCACAGCTGGACGAGTGAAGCCCTGAACGTTGAGTGTGAACACAATGACTGCTGAAGAGGGGAAAACTTTTATATCTCACACTAGTTCCTCCGAGAACAAACCTGACCACCACAGCAGACTAATTATAATGTTAGGAAGTATAAAGTTTCAAACAAAGATTGAAATGAAGAACCACCTAAAGCATCTTGACTCTTTTCTGACTTCTCACTGTCAGCGAGTCCTTCTGGGAACACAGCAGGGACATTTCATCAGGGTGAGGAGATCATTTTGTCCTAGTTGTCTCCTGTTGAGCTGGGATGCTCCTCTCTGCTGACAGCTTCTGAGAGTGCAGGAGTGTGGGAGAATCACAGCCAGGAGGAGCACTCTTCCACATTACGGAGAGCTACAGCTGCCTGCAGACGACGAGACGTTTCAGCACCTGAGCGGCGGATAGCTCCCGAATAGCCAGCTGCAAAACATCAAGAGCAGCGACTGCGTGTGTCTGTGTGTGTGAGAGAGACTCCAAGATGCTCCATACCTGCAACAGCCGCCTACCTGTCCCCACCGGAGGGACTGCCGCGCTCTCCCGAGACATGTGCATGCAGAGGAGAAATATTAAAAACCCACTCACCATGTCTGGCTGCCTCTGCCGGAGCGGTAAGGGTTAATCTGCAGTGCGGGCGAGCAGCTACAGCATGTATCCGAGGAGCACACCGGTTTGTTCCGCCTTTACCCCCCCCCCCTGCTCCCCTCCCCTCCAACCTTCCTCCTCCCCCCGCCCTGCCTCTTCCTCAGAAACAAGGGATGAGATAACACATTAAGATTCTCTCCCTCATCACATCACCTCTCTCTCTCTCTCTCTCTCTCTCCGCGCGCTGCAACGGATACACGCAGACTAGCGACTCAGCAGGGCAGGCGGTGTTTAAGCAGATATGCGCAGAAACGCGGCATCTTTATTTTTTAATCCTTTTTAGAGGTTTTAAGATTCAGCATTCCTTGATTCCCATATGAACGCACTTTGGATGTAACAGTGTTTAAATCTTGAATAAAAAGGTCTTTGAGTGTTAATGAATAATTGTCTTGAGGGACAGCAGTTCTGATAACTACTCTAATTCATCTGTTGTCTACAACCGAACAGCACAGCACAGCACAGACAGGCTCTTACTTTCATCTTGATAGGTTTATTCAGCCTGTCAATCATCTGCTGCTTTGGGATTGGCTCTGACACGACTGGAAAACATGTCTGTCACTCACAGTCACTGGGTGGGGCGAGTGGGTCCCAAACAACATGCAGAAGTTGGGCAACAAACTGTGGAGGGAAACCTGCAGCTGTGGTTGGACATAAAGTAGAGCCTTCCTGCAGATGATTGAGCAGGAGCCTTCATTTAAACAGGTGTGGTGTTCACACAGTCCTGTGTGAAAAGGTGTGTTCTCCAGAGAGGCTCTTTAGTGCAACAGTCTGAATGCTCTTCAAACAGGGGCGTCTCCAGGATCTCCAGGCCGCATGCAAAGATGTCCCATTGGGCCCCTCCACCACAGCCTCAGTCAAGCCTGAGTTATTTCTGTAAGAGTACTAAAAAGCTACTATTGAAAGGTACTGAAAACAATGCGTTATTTATAAGAAAAGTGCGTAAAGGCATTGTATGCCTATATTGTCATGTCATGTTTTGAAAAAAAAGAAAACAATAAAAATTGTTAATCACAAAAAATAAAAGTGCGTAAGAGAAGAATGAGTCACATACATACATTGCAAGAAAAAGCAGGTTTAGATAGATCGATGTCCTGACAGACTCAGTTTGAGACAGTAGATGTCGCCCTTGAGCACCACCTTAAAACCAAAACAAACTGCTGTTTGGCCACACCTCCTCCATACTGAAGCCTCTGCTCTCCTACAGTGACACACCTCCAACCCCTCTCCACTCAGGTTTGCACGAAGGGGTTATCAATTGGAACGTACCATAATTAAGCGCAAGCAGTGGACAAAATTGTCCTTTTCTGGAGCTGTAATCACCTGTGTCCTGCATTGTTGTGTTAGCATGCTAATGTTAGTGCTCTTTAGTTAGCTCGTAGCTTCACATTGCATTTAAACTGACACAGAAGAAAGATTAAAGAATCATGTGTGCTTATTTCACCAGTATTTCAGTATTTCACCACCTCTTCCAGTTTTGTTAGAGAAAACAAACAAAAAGTGAAGATGAATCTCAGGACCCCGTCCTCCACTGGGACCCTGGGTTGTCAGTCCCACTTCCCTCCACTGTGACGCCCATTTAAATAGACATTAGACATTAGTGGCTTTATCATTTTTATAAGTACTATTTCTGAGCTACTTATTGTTCCTTTTTCCATCCCTGCTGAACAGACACAGTTTTTACTGCAGTTAATCAGTTTGTTTGTCGCCTCCAGCAGTCTGTGACTCTGTCGGGCTCCTCGTGGCCACACGGCGATGTGAGAGCGCGCGAAGGAGAGGCGCCAGCCACAAGACAGCTCTCCTCTCCTCTCCTCAAGCCGGTTCCTGCCGGTTATGGGAGCCGCGCCTCACTTCATCTCCCTCCAAACATGGTCTCTCTCCCTCTCTCTCTCTCCTCTCTCTCTCTCTCTCTCTCTCTGATGTTCATGTCTGATGTGATGCAGCTTCCTGTGAGCCTGCAGAAGAAGGAAGCAGCTTGTCCTGTCCCGTCGTAATAAGCCTGAAGTCTTAAGAATCACAGCAGTGCCCTCTTTGTAACGTACACTAGTCAAATCAGGTGCAGTTCATTTCAGAAGCCTGGCCACTTTCTACCTGCATGAAGTTTAAAATGTCTGTGCTTCCTATTTTCATGCATGAGCACCAACAAGCACTGAATATTAATAAACACATCTGAATATAATACATCACTAACTATGATCTCAGCCTTTATAAATAATTCAAATTCAGTTTTTACTGACACATATTTCGGCCTGAATCAGTGCCAAGACAGATAATTACCTCCTTCATGACTGTGTGAACTAAAAGTAACATACAGTTGCATGTTGGTCCCCTCCTGCACATATATTTCTTTCTTCTCCTTTGCCCCCTTGTTTGGATTAATGTCCACTCACTGAAATATGCTTAAATAATGCGTATCCTTAACAGGCTCTTTGAACATGCACTCTGGGTTCTACTATCTTAACACAGCGGCCAGACCCTCCAGGGAAGTGGTGCTGGCTGCTCATTGGTAGACATAGGGGGCCCCCCTTGGTCCGTCTGGCAGCTGTGGATGCCTTAAGTAGCTTCTCTGTTCACAGCTTGGTGGGTCCTTTGCCCCCTTGCGGACCGGTTTACGCAGCCCCTCTGCCTATCAGGCGGGGGTCTTGCATCCTGTAGGGTCTTACCCTGGTTGGCATGTCAACAGTGCTCATTGTTGTATTTCACTGTGGTCTGCACTGACTCCTCGTGGGGTATCTGAAAGAGTTACCCCGTACATGTTATGTAACGGAGAAATAGTCTCGAGGATAGAGAACTTTGGTTCTCTGAGTGAAGAGACTAATCGCTCCAGCTTCTAGGCCGCTCGGTGACAGGTTCCAAACAAACGATCAGTTTTTGTAGATGAGCTGTGGGGCGTGACCGGGCAAGTTGGACGTAGTCTCTTAAAGTGATGATATGCAGGGGATCATACCCTGTACATGTTATGTAACGGAGCGGGGAGATCTTTCTTTCTTCTCCTTTGCCTCCATGTTTGAGTCACTCACTGAAAACTGACAGCTAACGCTGTCTTTGTTCATGCAGTCAAGTCTTACCCCATGCATTAACAGATAGACGGGGATAAATGAAGACCCAGAGGCGTCGTCTTAAATGTAAAAGAGGGGAAATTACTTTTATTAATAATGAGGATCTGCAGCTGAGGGAGTAAATTAACAAAGGATGGAAGTGAAGGTGATGAACAAAGCAGCAACTAATTCAGCAACACTCCTCTTATTCCAAAGTAGAAAGCAGGATGAGATATTAGCAAAACATTTATTAAAACATACTCCAACCAAAGACCAAACATCACAGCCTGACATCTAAAATAACAACTGAACACTTCTTGTAGCAGAGTTATTTCTTCTTGGAGATGATCAGTTCATCTTGCTTTTTAAAAATCATCTGCAGATGATTCTGTTTGATTCATGGATCAACAAGAACACACATGAATTATTACAAAAGCATTTTTACTAACAATCGATGAAGAAATTTTTTATTTTTTCTTTAGACAGAAATTCAGTTAAAACTCTTCTAGCTGTCGGAGGATCAGTTCTACTGTAACCATTATAATCTAAACATCGAGGGTCACAGAGGATCTGACTACTGAACAGAATCTGAGTTACAGTAAAAAGAGCGTTAGATGAGCTCACTGTGAACTTATAGGAAATGAAGTCTGCAGAATTTAAAGACACAATCAAGTATTTACATAATGTTTTTTTTCCTGGACTCCACCGAGGTGCAGTGGTTAGTGCTGTTGCCTCACAGCGAGGAGGTTCCTGGTTTGAATTCCCGTCTGACAGGAGCCTCTCTGTGTGGAGTTTGCATGTTTTCCCTGTGCATGTGTGGGTTCTCTCCGGGTACTCCGGTGTCCTCCCACAGTCCAAACACATGCTGGTTAGGTTAACTGGAGACTCTAAATTGCCCGTAAGTGTGAATGTGAGTGTGGCTGGTTGTCTGTCTCGATATATCAGCCCTGTGATTGGCTGTAACCCCGCCTCTTGGCTACAGCCCCATGACCCCAGGTACGGGATAGGCGTTAAAGGTAATGGATTGAGGTTTTTTTCTCATTTTCTAAAGTTTTAAAGTATAAAAAAAGTCAAAACATTGTTTGAAGTCCATGATTTCAATCTGCTTGTGCAACGTTAAACAGAACTGTAACATCCATTCAAACCGGTAAGAATCCAGTTTAGTGCATGATCTGTATCAAGTGAAGTTAAACACTTCAGACTTTAGACATTGTTTTTTGTGCTCTGAACCTTTTTTTTTTAATCTTGACTATGGAATACAGTGGATTTCGTGGTGCCACAAAATGCTTCTTCTAACTACAATATGCAGAAAACAATGATACAAAGCAAAAACACAAAGTGCTCAAAGCATTTTTCAAGCAGAAATCTTGAACAGAAACTAGAAACATTCTATTTTCTCACTGATTTCCTTTCTACTAAATATCCCTCTCTCCCCCTCTGTGAATAAGTGCTTCTTTCTTTCTCCCCGTGTTTCCTCTCTCAGGATTGGTCTCTCATTCTTATTTAGTTTTATAATCCTCCTTTCTTTCCCCTCTTCTTATAAAAACGTATCTCTCCGTACTGTGGGAATGTTCATTGGGCCATTTGGACCACGACTGCCTTCCAGGCTCTGTCTTTGTCAAAGTCCTGCAGCGCTCCGTTGACTGCCTGCTGCTGAGGGAGCAAAACATGAAGAGAGAGAGAGAGGGAGAGAGAGAGGGAGAGAGAGGGGGGGTGATTAAATGTGCAAGGGGAAAGGCGACATGTATGAACTACTCATCCATTATTATGTCAGCAGATTTAAACACTGCGTGCAGGAGCTGTAATGATCAATCTAACACACAAAATGAAAATGTGTTTTCTGCACGTGATTTAAGGACGTGGAGAGACAGTCAAGTGCCCGTGCCCCCCACACTGTCTTACCTCACAGTAGTATGTCTGTGTGTGCATGCCGTCCTCGCTCTCTGGAGCCCCCATGCGGAGCCGGCTCTTGTAGGAGGCACAGTGCACCACAGTGGCCGAGGTTAGAACTGCCTGCACCAGCAGCAGCACCATCAGAATCAGCAGCAGGATGTCGTAGGATTGCTGTAACACACACACACACACAAAGACAAAATAGGATGATAATGAAAGATTCCTCGATGACCCAATTATAGTTCCTCTAAAATCTGTTCCAGGGTTATGTGGGTAACACGTGCAAGAGAAACCTGCACATTGCACACTGCTGCTGTATTTTCACTTCATTGAACTCACCTTGGCCGTGGGCACCTCATGCAGGAAAATTTCAATAAAGCTGATCACACTGCAAGAGAGGAAGCCAGAGGCGGAGAAGAGCAGCGGAGACGTCACGCTGCTGATGGCAATGAGTACCTCCACCTGAGAGACAACAGAGCGAGCACAGAAAAACAGAAGAAGTGAACGAGCATAGAATTAAACATTTGTGTAACTGTGACATTAGTTATGAATGAAAAGATAATCCTTCCTTTAGCGGGCAAACAGCCTGATTAACTTTAATAGAGTTCAGAACCTTTGGTCGACATGGGGTCTTTCAGGAGCAGAACGCCACAGAGGCCTTCACAATAAAAAGGATCAAGCAGCCACCACAACGGTTAATTTAAATGTGCCTCACTGGGGGCGACGGTGGTGTAGTGGTTAGTGAGTGCACCCCCTGTACGGAGGCTATAGTCTTCCAAGCAGACGGCCCGGGTTCAAATCCAACCTGTGGCTCCTTTCCTCCATATCATTCTCCACCCTCTCTCTCCCTGATGTCTGGCTCTGTCCTCTGTCCTGTCTCTTCAGTGAAGGCACAAAAAGCCCCAAAATAAATTTTCAATTTGCCTAACTGCCCGAGCTGTCGTCGGCTAAGAAGTCAAATGTGATGCCTCCAAAATAAACGGTAAAGCATAAGCAAGGCAAACAGAGGTGTACTAAGGACAGTACCCTGAAGAACACCAAAATACAGAGGTTGAAATACAGACAGAGTTCTCAGCAAGGGAGAAAGTCCTATGAGCCAGGAAGGAGGAAGTACTGCAGAGTTCTGCAGCCTGAGTCTGTTGTTTAAGATACTTTGGTCGAACCTGTCAAAAACTATTCTTACATTCAACACTGGACAAAAACAACTTACGGTGTCCTGCTACACGGTGTCCTGCTACATGGTGCATTCTCTCTACTACTTGGTATACGTAGAGTTTATGAACTGGTATCAGGAAGGAGTGCCACTAAGCCTTCCATTAGCATGTTACTGTTTTTAAATCACTGAAACGTCATGTACCAACGTCCTCTGCACCGACAAGCTGATTATTGCACGTTTGTGTCAAAGATTTGAATGATGCCATAAGGCTAGGCTGCTTCATTCTGTCATTTGAACTCCAGGCCTCACCTCCCCGCTGTGAAACCAGATTTTTCTGGACTGCATCCTGGAAGTAGTGATATTTCTTAAGCCTTGTTCTTAGTGTTAATGAAGTGTTCAGTGTGACCTTTCTCCAGGGCTGGCAAAGTGTTCGAACAACATGTGGAGACAGTTCTGGCGGTGTGAGATTACCATGCAACAAGATCTAATTTAAGACTCTGAGAGGAGCTTCACCCCCTTAAACTGAGAACAAAAGTCACAGTTTGGTTTGCACAGTCACCAACTCTTTAAAATATACAAGCGTACCTGACATTTGGCTTGTACTCACCAGACATTTGTTGGGGTATTCTGACACAACGTGACTCGCTATGGCACTCGGGAAACACTGCAGAGGAGTACAAGTCAGACACAGTTTGATAAAGATACTTCTAGGTGGCATCTCATAATTCTGAGCTTCATTGTCTGCATTCAAATTTTTAAGCAAAAAAAAACTTACAGCAACAAGAATCCAGAAAAATGTGACGGACAGGTATGGTCCGGGCAGCAGAGCGTCCATGTTGAGGGCAATAATTCCTCCAAAGACAGCAGAAATCCCAACGATGACTTCGATCACCTGGGAGAAACATTCTTCAGTGTCTGATCAACATCAATTAGAGGTACGTAAATATCATATCAAAAACATGAGGAGTACCCACAGAGTACGCTTTGAGGAGTCGAGTGGGGAACACTGCAGGCGTTATGACCACTGGTCTGTCGTACGTCTGCGGCGGAAAGAAGGACGCAAAGATTGAAAGGAGTTGGGATGAGAAAGTGAAAGCTGAGGGGAGAGGAAGAGAGGAGGTGCTGGAAGTAATCACACAGACACACACCTTCCTGTGGCAGCAGCAGTCCTCTGCAGAGCGGGCTGACAGGATGACAGTACTCGCCATCAACACCTCCAGCAGAATCATCAGGATGAGGTTAAAGTTGATCTGAGAGCAGGCGAGCGAGGAAGAGAGAGAGAGCACACATAAAACGCAAGAGAAATAGAGAAAAGTACTTTATCGTGAAGAATCACCTGACATTAAAGGGTTGATGTTTTATTCTGATTGATTTACGTTGACAGCGGACGGGTTCAGGACCAGTTTACACCCGAACCAGACCAGGCAGGTGGTCGTCACCGCAAAAGTGGACACGTAGAGCACCTGGAAATCTGACACCTTAAAAAAACAAACAAGAAAACCTGAGAGCTCCACCAGCATCAAGCTTTAAGATCTCTTGGGAGATCTAATTAAAAACCCATTAAATCCTAATTATCTTTTGGCCGTTGCTGCGATCGGTGTTCACTCACTGCTACATGTCGGTTCTTGGCGATGGCAAAGCTGGCCAACGCTGCAGGAAGGCCCTGAGAGAGAAACAACAAAATGATCCACATGTTTTTATCTGTCAATGAAAAAGCTGATCTGAAATGATGTGTTACAGGCAATCTGACATGACAGTGTGTTCCTTATAATGTGCCGGCTCAGGCCTCCTCCCACAGTCCAAAGACATGCTCGTTAGGTTAACTGGTGACTCTAAATTTGTCCGAAGGTGTGAATGTGAGTGTGGCTGGTTGTCTGTCTCGATATGTCAATGCTGTGATTGACAGGTGACCAGTCCAGTTTGTAACCCAGCCTCTCGCCCCTGACCCCAGCAAACCCAAACGGGAAAAGCGGTGTAGATGATGGATAGATAGGTGTGAGAGAAACTCTGACGTCACTCACTGAGCCTGCAGCACAGCGCAGGTAATCCATGGCAACAGGAAACACATTCCCCAGGTACAGAGAGAAACCAGAGGTGATGAGCAAACTGCCCTGAGGACACACACACATATTTCACATCACATTAATCTGAAGTGTCCAGTTATCTTCAGCTGCACAATAAAGCACATTTAAAGGTTATTACAATATGAATATACTTAATAAACCTCATGCATGAGTATGGTGGCTGGGAAGTGCAAACCCAATTTACAAAGTGTGAAACACTTTTGCAAAGCTTGAGACTAATTTACATTTTGGAAAAATACATTTACAAGAGCGCTGAGAAACATTAAAAAATGACAGAATCTTGTCGGACAGAGTATGTAAGAATTGCCGGAAGTGAGTAAAAAGTGAGTGAGCGGTCTATTAATTTGTTTTGACGGAGAGACGTGCGTTCACTGTCTCAGGTTTTGCAAAATGGACAAAACATCATTCGTTCTCCATGAACTCAGTTCAACACGACACATTTCCCACAGTCTTAACACCAAAACAAACTAATTGATCACTCACTCAGTCACTTCCGGTATTTCCCTTTCCGGCAAGATTCTGTCGTTCTTTCATTTGTTTTCGAGACAACAGTGTTCTGCCACTTGTTCATTTGTCTCAGCGCTCTCAAAAGCATTTCACACTTTGTAATTTTGGTTTGCATTTCCTAGCCATCGTACTTCAGACTTCCTGACCAAAAAGAAAAAGAACAAAAAAACAAGGGAACGATGGAGAGAGAGGAGTGAGTGAATGTTTGTTTTCTTTTATTTCACTTGAGTTTTAAATCTGAAAAAAAAATCACCTTGATTCTGAAAACTTGGAGTCTCTTTGGATATTAGAAAAATGAAATGATCAGCAGGATGAGAACACAGAAGCTGCATGTTCTAACTAATACACATGCTTCATTATTTGTGTTCTCATCGTTGAACGTTGATACTGCACATTAAATATTCACAGAACTTGCAGCAGGGTTTTTATTTCAGGAATTAATTTTTCTTTTACTGCGAAGAGAGAGACAACTATTGCTGCTTCTTTTATACCTCTAATCGATTACAGTGAGATTTTATTAATACACACTTCTTCTCAAAGCCTTCAATCTCTGCACACTGTTTATCATGACGCAGTGAGGTTCATTATGAATCTGAAGGTCATAACTCATCATTGTGCTCTGTATGATCAAGGTGTCTGGCATGCATTGACCGCTTGTAGACTAAGTCACTGACAGGATCTTATTTATGAGGTGGTACTATGTAACGATTCACTCAACTCACAATACGATTCACGATTTATTTTACAGAATGAGACAGTTGACACATGAGTGAAAAAGATTCCTTTAGGGTCTGCTAACCCACTCGTCAGTGTGCTTTGGCCTTTTAATGTTTTCTTTCTCTCAACAAGGGGAGGTGATTGGAGCTTGTCATTGTGGTGTTGATTAAATGCTGCATCATGTTGGTCGTGCTGTTTGTGTAGTTCTCTGTCTTCTTGTAATATTTGCACACAGTTGTTGTCTCGTCTGTTATCTTCTCACCTCTTTCATTTTCTGTCTTGGGGAAGCCAAAATGCTTCCACAAGACAGTGGCGCGTCATCAATTTCTAAATCTGTCTCTGTTCTTTTTTCTACCCATGTGAATCTTGACACCGTTGAATCGATTAATCACAATGTTACAATTAATCTTTACATCCCTAGGTGATACTTGACCTGCTTCAAACATACTTGTGTGATTTTATTCATTTAAAAATGCTTTAAACTCTGCGACTCCGTAACTAAACTTAATCTTGCTCTCTGTCCCCAAAGTGCATCTTGAAATGTGGAGATGGACTTTCAGGTTCACTGCTCCTGCAGCAGGAATACCCCAACAGATGTTGGTGTAAAAGCGCTTTGAGTAGTCAGAAGACTAAAAAAGAAATATACAAGCTCAAGTCCATTTAACATTTACTGAAACAAGATTCCTTTTCCCGGTCTCACTTAAGATTCTCTCACAGCAGATAAAAAAGGATCCCTCTTACTCCTAAACTCTCTATTACGGCCTGAGTAGATCCACCAAAGATGAAAATTAAGATCTTTTTAAACACTCCATGAGACCCCGCGGTGGTGTGCCCCCCTCCCGTCCCGTCCCTGCTCTCACCCCTATGAGGACGCTGTAGAGCCAGGCCCTGCAGCTGAAGCAGGGGTGCTTCAGAGGCTCCGGCTGGGCCAGCTGCAGGTCACTGGCTCTAACGTCCACCGTGTAGCTGTCCCGCTCCGGCCTGTAGCGCTCCCCCCGGTCCATCCTCCTGTCCCCCCGGCGTCCCAGAGACCCGGTGCCCCTCTCCAGCGTGGACATGTGGCTGTAGGTGAACTCCTCTCTGGCCGAGAGCTCATCGCACTGCATCCCTGATTCAGCAGGAGGGACACAGAACGTCAAACATAAAAACCTTCAGACTTATTAACTCGCAAACAAACAGAGGAACTTTTTATTAAGTTGCTCTTTTCAGCTGAACACTGATGAAGTTTGCTTTCCCAACCCTGTGATATAAATATATGTTGATCACATGAGCAATATTTTAACTGACACATTGTTTACATAAAGTAAGGATAAGGATCTACACTTTGGTCTGTTTGCAACAGGTTTCTTCAAAGTTTTTCAAAAGTACAGAAAATAAATACATTTAGTGCAGGATGTGGGTGTTGTTAAGATGTGAAACATGCAAAAATGTATTTTAAAAACTGACGGAACATGATTCAGCAATTCACATTTCATGCAGAAATGCCTGAAACGACCTCTTCCTATACTGTGTTCCCCAAACAAAAGGTCTCCACTTCCTTCTTTTTCTCATTTTCTCCCCCCACACGTACCTGTTGTTGAGCTTCTTGCAAATATCCTCCGAGAAAAAGTGTCCTGCGACAACTGGGATCAAATCCACACATGGAGGTCAGCTTGTTTGTGTCTGCAGCTCCTCCTGCTCTGCATCTCTCTCCCCCTCACACTCCCCGTCACCTCCCCCCGCTCTCTTTCTCTCCCCCTTTTAGTCGCCGATTCTCTGAAACAGTGCTGAGAAGTTTTTTTGGAGCCCTTCAAAGCGTGGAGCTCAAACACACGGCTCTTGTGCTGCCAGAGGGAGAGCGCCTGTGCATGACAACAAGGGGAGGACGAAGGGGCTCGAGCTGGGGGCGAACACTCTACACTCCCATTTGCTCATTCAAACACACACACACACACACACACACACACACACACACCACGACAACCCACTCACAGCTCTGAACAATAGACACACAGAGATGAGTGACACACAAAGTTACATGTTCAGGAATTCCAGTTGATGGGGAGAACACGGAGGAGAGAGAACATGGTGTTTGAAAGTGTTGTTTTTCTCTGTGCACGGCTGAATGTGAACCCTGTGGAGTCCTCCGAGTGCTTCACTCACAGCTCAGTAAATTAAGACGCCCTGCAGAGCTTTAGAAAAGAGGCGACAGAGACATTTCCAGGCTTAATCTCCGGATTGACACAGATGATCTGATGAAGCATCGTCTTTTACTTTGGGTACAGATTCTCTGAACTTCTCGTTAACTCCATGAACTCATTGTCAGAGTGTGTGTGTGTGTGTGTGTGTTCATAAACGTGTGCGTGTGTGTGCACCTCAGGAATCCATTCACTGCTTTACAACATTGTTCCAGTGTGGCGGTAACCATGGAGACTCCATAACAACTGCTGTCACCCTGTCCCGGTCCCTCACCACGCTAATGTCTCTGCCCAACACACACAGGGACACGCACACACACAAACTAAACACACAAACTTAACATACACACACAAACTTAAACACACACACACAAACTTGAACACACACACACAAACTTAGCACATACACACACACAACCAATGACATGACATCATGACATCAACATAAAACAGCTTTCATTATCTGACATCAATCAGCCAATCAGAGATCCTCCTTCAGCACCAAAAGAATCCAGTGTTAAGTTTGTACGTGTGCGTGTTACGTTTGCGTGTGTATTAAATTTGTGTGTTATAAGTTTGTGTGTGTAGGTGTCTGTGTGCGTGTAAAATGTGTGTGTTCAGTAAGTTTGTGTGTGTGTGTGTGTGTGTGTGACTTTGTGTGTTGTGTTGAGTTTTTGTGTGTGTCTGTACATGTTGTGTGTGTGTTGAGTTTGTGTGTGTTGAATTTGTGTGTGTGTGTGTTGAGTTTGTCTGTGTGTTGAGTTTGTGTGCGTGTTTGTCTGTCTGTGCGTGCGTGCGTGCGTGCGTGCGTGCGTGCGTGCGTGCGTGTGTGTGAAGCACCAAAAGAATCTCATGCAGATTTATGAACTGGTTAAATTAATCTTTATAGAGGAAACATAAACAAGTCACACACAGACGAGTTAATTGGTTTCACATCCTCTGGAAAGAAACACAAAAAGCTGACAGCATGGTGTGGTCAGTTCAGGCCCGCAGCGCCCGGTCCGGTCCCACACATGACGGACTGTTACACGCTACCTGACCCATGCTGATGACAACAACACCCTCGCTTCTCTCCGAGGTGTGAAGCAGCTCCTCCCTCCAACATTTTAAACAGAAACAAAAGGAAACAGTCATCCCTCTGACATGCAACATTTAAAAACCTTTGTACAGACATATCCAATAAGACACATGAGAAATCATCTGTGGATATATACATTAACTTACATCTTCAATAGCTCTGTTTGGATATGAACAATATTTACACTTCAGCAGAGGAAGAAGAGCCCGCTTTGTCCCGCCTCTCGGCCCAAAGCCTCGTCTTCGTCTTCTTCTTCGCTCACATTACAGGTTGGTGTCAGTGGTGCGTCTGTTTGGCTTTAAGAGTAATCAGCACATTTAATGCTAAATGACAGATATACACATCAGTGACTCTGTACAGGTCCACATGTTGGAGCAGAGAATCAGAACATGAGGCAGACAGGAAGAGACGCTGATCGCTGGTTCCCCTGATCCTACCAGATGACCCTACACTGTTACGGTTGTTTTGGCATCAAACAGCTATCTTATGACAGTTTATTACTGTTGTTTATAGTTGACAGATATCAACAGTCTGTGATGAGATAACAGGAGACGTGTGAGCGTCTGATGGACTGCACAGAGACAAAGATCCTCACTGACCGTCCTCTGGTCTTATTTTTTGTCCTTCACTCCCTCAGGTTTTTCCCTCAGTACAGCGTCACGTCTCTGGAGAGTGTTCTCCGTCTCTGTGCGTCCAGGAGCTCAGACGATGGATCCCTTGGAGGACGACAGGTGGATGGACTGGATGCGGCCGGCTAACGTTTTCTCAAGGGCGTGCAGGATGTCGCAGCCCGGGCTGTCCGGAGGAGTGTCGTACAGCAGCTGTTTGAACGTCTCCAGCTCGATCAGGATCACCATGTTTTTCAAGAAGTAGCCCTCGATGTATGACGCCAAGTCTGGAGCATCCAGAAACTGTGGGAAACATAACAAACACTTTATTGTTTAACTCTAAAATCGAAATGTCCGCACACTTTTTAAAATAAATAACTGATCAATTTCCTGCTGGAAATGTGTTCTTAAAGCTGTTGTTCGTAATATTTGGTTTGTATTGATTTTGAACGAAGCTGTTCATCTCATATTTACACATGTGAATACGAGATGTCTTCACATGTGTAAATAGTGTTTATTTTTACAAAATTAAGTTCCTCCTGCCTTCTGTTAACTGTCAAATGTGTCACTCACTGTGAAGCTTTGCAGGAAACATGAAAACTTAAGCTGTTTTTATACATGCACTCCTGAAAATTTCAGGAGGACAGCTCCAGAAATCCTCCTGATTTGGGCGTTCACACATACACCTCACAGCAGGAGACTATCCCTGTCAGACAGAAGGGGGGCGGAGTCTCAGGAGGCAAGACGAGATGTTAAAAAAATGATGTGCAAGGGGTGGACGAAGCAACACTATGATAACATTTCTGACTTTATATCAATGATACATGTAGTTGAACAGAATCTCAATGTGAACTAAAGAGTAGAGAAGAACGTACTGGAGAACAGGAAACATAATGCAGCAGGTTCATCAGAGCACAGAGATCGTAGAGGTGGCGTGCAGACAGTGTATGGTCGTGCAGCGATCACAGGATGTAAACATCACTGCCTGTTTGCTTCTGGGGAATTCACCTGAATACTTCCTGCTGCGTTCTCAGATCAGCCCACCCCAATTTGGAACGTGGAAAATTTACCAGGGGGGCTGGCAGGAGAACAGTTGGAGAGAAAGTAATTGTCCGCGTGCGTTCACACATGCAGCTCATCTTGAAAATTTCAGGAGTTTTGTGCAAGTGTGACAAAACTAAAAGTCTGTTTCTGCAGCGTGCTGTTAATCTCCTCGTCTGACACTCGCACGCTGACGCACACACATGAAAATAACTTAAAGATCTGTCTGCTTGTTCGTATTTTCAGGAATTAAAAAGACAACAATCTTAGGTTGCAATTCATGAATGCCAAAAACCTGCAGTTCCTCGGGTGTCCACTAGAGGCTGTCTGCACAAACCAAAGAATCCCCATTAAGTCTAATTTCATCATGTCGATCATCTGGTGTACTAATTGGGTCTCAATGTCTCATTTCTCTATTTGTAAAAACTGTACCGGGTATAACTCATAAATAAATTAACTAATTTGCATAATTATGGGCGTGACTGAGCTGACTGACAGGTGGGTGCATTGTAGCTGTTTGTCAGGAGTCTTAAGGCCCGCCTCAGCTCCCCCTCTCTCTTTGTTTTCTAGATTGATCCAAACTCAGGTTGAGTCAACATTTCCAATATGGCGACCGTCATTGTTTGGGCTTCACAACACCTCTTCAGGAACCAATGAATGACGTCACTGAGACTACGTCCATTTTTTATACGGTCTATGTCTGTTTCTAAACTCCTCACAGTAGGTTTAAGTCACAGGTGCATTCACTCTGAAATCCTGTGTTGTATTTTTCACCTTGGTGTGGTTGTAGATCTCCACACATGTTTCAGTGTTGATGTTCTTGGAGCAGATGATCTCGCAGTGCCTCTGCAGCGCCTCCAGCTGGAAGAACTTGGCTGCAGACAGGAGCTGGAAACAAACACATTTAATTTGAAGTTGAGGGTCTGGGTTTTATTTTCAGACATCGCCGTGGATCCATCTGTAGCCTGGAGGATCTAAATCGAAGATGGGCTACTTTGGTTAGCGAGAGGGCCACGATCATATTATTTTACCACCAGAGGGCCAAATCTTTAATATGACTTTAGACGATGATTTTTGTCATGTTTCCTTCATTTTTTTTTCTTCTCACAATTTATTGATATTTGAAATTGACTTGAGTATTGAGGGGGGCCGCATGTGGCCCTGGGCTGCCAGTAGCCCACCCCTGATCTAAATGGTCTATGAGGCCTAGTCCACACATAGGAGAGTATTTTTTGAAACAGAGGTTTTCCTCATTCATTCAAAAAATAATTCCGTCCACACACGCTCAGTTCTCAAAAACATCTTTGTCCACATGAAGACGCAAAACGCACGATTACGGCTGTCATGAGCACGCCAAGTAAAGAAACGATGTCCCTGACATGCACATTTTTTTTCCTCATTCCTCTGCAGTGACCATTTTATTTTGTTGTCCCACCAACTGAACATCGGCGGCAGTGTTTGTGAGTGTTGTATCAATAAGCAGTGAGGGGGAGAAACCGGCGCACAGCGTGACGTTACAAGAACAAAACTCTGTTTTCCCCGTCTGCACAGAAACATCTTAAACACAGTTTCTGAACATCTTCACCCTGGAAGGAGTTTTACTAAAGGAGAGTTTTCAGAGACCTAAAACGCAGTTTGTGTACATAAGGTCAAACGCACAGGAGAGCTATGTTTTTAAAATACCCGCCTCAGAGGACTTGGCCTTAGTTAAACGGTTCATTTGAGGTCAAGTGGTACAGTACATGCTACATGCAGCAGGTAGCAGGTT